AATTAGAAAGTCTTTCCTTCCGTAAAACCATCTCCATTTCCTATGTTTTGAGCAGTGACAGGACGAGTTAAATTGAGTTCTTCCAGGGATGGGACACATTGGTCAACCCAAGGCAGGAAGCTTTGGAAACAGACAATGCTGGGTTTTCTTGCTGAACCGAAAGCTATAGACAAAGGTGCTTGGTTATCGAACATGCCATGAATCTTACACCAGTTTCTCATATGGATTTCCCCCTCGTGGCTGGTTGTTCACGTTTACCAGTGAGAGTACTACGGTGCAAGTGTGTACACGGGGCTCGCTGGCGAAGCCGAGATAGGAGGAGACTAGTATCGCTTTCCTTGGGCTTCGAAATTGGCCAGCTTAACTTTTATATGTATAATCTTCCACTTTTAATTTTGTTGAAAATAAAAATGGAAATGCTTTCTGATATATAACAAGATACGCTTCTAAACTTTTTTGCAAATACATCCAGCTGAGCCTATGAGGCAAAGTCCGTTCGGTCTTCTGCCTTTGTCTAAAAAGGAACATCAGCCAGGCTGTTACTTGTGATACTTTCAGGCTTTTTCAGCTCCCTTGCATGTTGGATGACCTTACTATAAATATTATAATTTTTTTTAATGTTTACTTATTTTGGGGACAGAAAGAAAGAAAGACCAAGTATGAGTGGGGGAGGGGTAGAGAGAAAGGGAGACAGAATCCAAAGCAGGTTCCAGGCTCTGAGCTGTCAGCACAGAGCCCAACATGGGCCCGGAACTCCCAGACTGCAAGATCATGACCTGATGTGAAGTTGGATGCTTCACGACTGAGCCACCCAGGTGCCCCTGTATTTTAAAACAGCATTTTGTAGGGGCACCTGGGTGGCTCAGTTGGTTAAGCGGCTGACTTTGGCTCAGGTCATGATATCGCGTTTCATGAGTTCGAGCCTTGCGGCAGGCTCTGTGCTGACAGCTCAGAGCCTGGAGCCTGCTTCAGATTGTGTCTCCCTCTATTTCTCTGCCCTTTCCCTGCTCTTGCTCTGTCTCTCTGTCTCTCAAATACAGATAAACATTGAAAAAATAATAAGAAAATAAAACAGCATTTTTTTTTCTTTTCTTGAGAACTTTATTTTTTTTAAAGTCGTAATTGCCTTTATTTTTATTTTTATTTTTTTTACAAATAGTTTATTGAAAACAGCATTTTGTACCTAAACATCCAGTGCTGAATTTTTAAAAACTTTTAATTTTTTTTGTTGAGAATAATCGATTAGTCTCAGGTGTACAACATAGTGATTCAACAATTCTATTCGTTTATGAAATGCTCACCACGATAAATGTAGTCCCCATATAGGTTTGTTATATTGTTGACTGTATTCCATACGCTGTCCTTTTCAGCCCCATGACTTATTTATTTTATAACTGGAAATGTGTACTGCTTATCCCCTTTACCTGGTTTGCCCACCCTCCCACCTGCCTCCCTTCTCTGTGTTTGTGATTCCGTTTCTGTTTTTTAAATGCCTTACTTATTTTTGAGAGACAGAGGGGGAGAGAGAGAAAGAGAGAGTACACATGGGGGAGGGGCAGAGAGAGCGGGAGACAGAGAATCCAAAGCAGGCTCTGTGCTGTCAGTGCAGAGTTCCGATTCGGGGCTCAAACTCAGAAACCGGGAGATCATGACTCGAGCTGAAGTCGACCCTTAACCGACTAAACCACCCATGCGCCCCTATTTCTCTTTTGTTTGTTTATTTGGTTTGTTTTTTTGATTCCACATATAAGTGAAATCATGTAGTATTTGACTGTTTCTGTCTGACTTACTTCATTTAACATCATACCCTCTACATCCACCCATGTTGTCTGAAATGGTGGCGTCTCGTTCTTTTTCACGGCTGAGTAATATCCATTTTCCGTATCCATTCATCTGTCGGTTGCCGGGTAGGTTGCTTCCACATCTTGGCTATTATAATTAGACTGCAGTAAACGTAGGGGGTATATACCTTTCCAAATTTGTGTTTTTTTCTTTGGGTAGAAAGCCAGAAGTAGAATTACTGGATCATACGGTGTTTCAATTACTAATTTTTTCAGGAACCTCCATACTGTTCTCCACAGTGGCTGCACCAGTTTACATTCCCACCAACGGTGCACAAGGCTTCCTTTCTCTCCACCTCCTTGTCAACATTTGTTCTTTCTGCTCTGTCTGCTACTGGCCATTCTGACGATGTGATCCGGTGCTGACTTTATACCACAACAGAATCAGTTCCCTTTTCCCATTAGCGGCTCTCTCTTGGCGGGGAGGGGTGGGTAGGAGGAAGGAATGGGTGAGGGAAATGAATTTGAAAGGTGTTTGAGGGGCGCCTGGGTGGCTTAGTCGGTTAAGCGTCCGACTTTCGCTTCGGTCATGATCTCGCGGTTCGTGGGTTCGAGCCCTGCGTCGGGCTCTGTGCTGACTGCCAGCTCGGAGCCTGGAGCCTGTTTCAGTCTGACTCCCTCCCTCTCTGACCCTGCCCTCCTCACGCTGTCTCTCTCTCTGTCTCTCTCCTAGAAATAAATAAAACATTAAAAAAAAAAAGGTGTTTGAAAACATTTATGCTGAGAAATGTTTTGGTATGATCTAAAATGGATGTTTTTTGCCATTACTCCAAGGGTTTTGCGGCCTCCAGGTGGTGGATCGAATTTTTCATTAGGCTTTGATGAACCAACAGAACAACCCGTGAGGAGGAACAAAATGGCCTCTAGCATCTTTGGGACACCTGAGGAAAATCCCCCTTCATGGGCCAAGTCGGCAGGTACTGCTTAAGTCTGTGACCCCTCTTCAAAGGGACAGGCCCAGCATGATAAACACTACAGCTGGTTTTGTGCTGAGGAGCAAACTCTAGCCCAACCATAATGAGATCAATAACCGTTAAATCTTGTCAGTGGAGGAAAGCCTGGGACTAAGAAAAGGGGAGGCACTGAGCCTGGGAGGAGGGGTCAGAATAGGGACTGAGGTCAGATGGGTTATTTGGTGCCTCTGTAGAATTTTCAAGCTCTCACTTAACCTGTTTGCTCATTTTGTGACACAAGACTAACATGAACACCATTCACGAAAGAAGCGTTTTGCTTTCGGTCTTTCTCTCATCGTCCTCAAGAGAATATGTTTTCATTCAGGTGCCAAGTCTAGTGGTGGCAGAGAGGATTCTGAGTCGTCTGGACCCCAGAGAAGGAACTCTTCTGAGGCAAACTCTGGAGACTTCTTAGATCTGAAGGTCAGTGTGACAACACAGGGGAAAAGCAAGGCTGTGAGGTTAACCCAGTTTGGAAATTCACTTCCTTCCTGTTGTAATAAGAGCTTCAGTTCTGCCACTGGCGCCGTACCTAGAGGTGATTCGGGAAGGGACTGAGGCCATACTGGCGCTGGAAGATGGGTAACGAGTAAAAGTCAGAAAAGTGAGGTGACACAGTCTGGGTCTGTTCAGATGCCTCTTCTACCAGTTGGGTTAGTCTCTCTCCTTTCACTATCGATTTTGGGAGCTTCTGGATCACACTTCCTACCTCAGTGGAGTATAGTAGTGTTTGTGAGGTCAAAGACTTGTTTTCGTAGTTGGCGAACGTCGCCCAGTTGTTCTGAGCTGAACTCCAGGAGAGTGCAGCCCGGGCGCTGTCATCAATTGTCTACAGAGGAGTGTGATCCCAGTGTCTCCAGGCAGGTGTCCAGAAGCCTGGTAGGGTGACCTCCAAAGTAGGGGCCTCAGAGCACCCAGAGGCGTCAGCTCTCCGAGTGTGGAAACACCTGTAGTGGACTTTGGCATTTATAGAGGCCCCTCAACAGCTAGGATAAGGAGAAAGGAGAGGGAGCATGGAAACATAAACTTAACCAGTTTCACATTCTGAAGAAGATCCTCTGAATGCTAGTTGATATTGGGCCATCGGTGTAAATGTTAAGGGTTTTTTTTTTTTTTTTTGGGCTGTGTTGGGTATCGCTGACACTGAGGCAGTTCGTCACGCAGCATTTTTGTATGGCATTGTCCCAAAGTGAGTATAAAGGTTGTAATGTAATTGTGTTGCGGCCTGACCCTGAACTTGGCTACATCAAAATGAACTTTCATAGTAGCCTCTCAGGACTGTGACTGCTTTATTTGTTACAAAATTAAAATCTGAAGTAAAATTTTAATTTCTTTTCTTTTCCAGGGAGAAGGCGACGTTCATGGTGAGTCCTTCTGAAGTTCACATTTCTGGTTCTGTAAATGGCTTTAGAAGAGAGCGGAATTTTTCTTGAAATCGTGTCTTGGGGAGTGTAACCTGGCTTTGCCCCAAGGGCCAGTGTACACGGGAGAGGAAAAAAACACGAAACTGGGAAGTTAGCAAACATGGCCACGTGTGTGTCTGCCGCGGAGGGAGCAATGCCAGAAATGCACAAGAAAGCAAAAAGGGAGAGTCCTTCACACATATGTGTGCAGTAGGCAGGCTGGTGGCAGTTCCTCTTAATGAGAGCTTTTAAAATTTTTTTTAAATTTTTTATTTATTTCTGAGAGAGAGAGACAGCATGAACAGGGGAGGGTCAGAGAGAGAGGGAGACACAGAATCTGAAACAGGTTCCAGGCTCTGAGCTGTCAGCACAAGAGCCTGACGTAAGGCTCGAACCCACGAACTGTGAGATCATGTCCTGAGCCGAAGTCGGACGCTTAACCGACTGAGCCACCCAGGCGTCCCAATGAGAGCTTTTTAGTAGAAGGCTCTGGCATTTCAAGCTTGGCACACAGCATTTAATTTACAAACTTTGATTTCACACTGAGGTGCTTATTCAGCAAGATACTGGTAACTCTGTGATCTTGTGGCTGGTGATTTAGGAGGCAGATAAAATCCTCATCCATGTTACTAATTATATGTGGAAATGAGCTATAATCATTTCTTTAATGAGGTTAACTCTTTGAAATACTTACTGGCAGTTCCTTACTAGGTGCCAGAGAACGACTTTTGCATGTAACAAAAGGCATATGTGTATCGGGCAGCAGGAATCAGGTGAAAGTTGACTGGGTGAAATGCAGCAGCCGGAAGGCCCTCTGGTGCAGAAGGAAGACCATTATTACATTTTGTGAGGCAGCCTTCCCGTGAAACAAGTGTTCAGGAACCAGATTCCTCTTCTGCCCTCTCAGATGGCTAAATGATGGACATGATGGGAAGAGAGTCTGTCGGACCTTTGTGAGTGTCACCTGGGTTCTTCCTCCGAGGACAAATCACTTTCTCGCTGGACTGAAGATGTATCAGTTATTGTTCATGTCCAGTGTGTTCTGTCTGAAAAGACTCTTCCGGAAGTTTAAAAAAACAAAACAAAAAAAACTTCAAGTCTTTTCAGTTTTGCTGCTTTTCATATTCTGAAATACTTCTACTAGCACACCTTACTTAGCAAGAATCAGCTAATCCTTAGTCACTACTTTGGGCAGTGGATTTGGTTAGGAATTTGGGAAGCCTGGATTAGTATGAGAGGCCCTGATGGAGTTATGAAAAAAATGTGTTACTTGACCTGCTAATAGTACTTCTCCCCCAGCTTGGTTTGTTTCAGATTCTTCAGGTGAGCAGTGCACACTCATGAAATTCCCATGAAATGACAAGGGGCATAATAATCCAAGATCTATCTGGGGGAGTAGAGGTCAACCCTGATTCTGTTGCCAGTTTTACTTTGGAGCCAAGCTATTCTGGTTTAAGACATTCTGTTTGGATCTAAGGAAGATTGCCGTTCTCTCTTGGAGAATTAAACCTAGGGATGAATAAAGGGAGCAGTGGAAATCTGTAGCAGAGGGAGCAGGTCTGCAGAATTTAGGTGCAAGTCCTTCCTGCCTTCAGGCAAGTTAGATACTCTGCTGCATCTCCTGCTGTTCTGATTGTTTTACCCTCCCAGGGAACCACTTTACCAGACATAGGTGTCTGGTCAATTCTCTCGTTGATGATGTGCCAAAGAAGAAAGACAAGTCAGGAGTATATTAGATATGTATTATGGTAGAAGTGTTTGTGTTTAAAGTCCCAGTTTTCAGTCATTAGGTTCAACAGGCAAAAGCTTTCTTGGTCAGGTCCTATGTAAGTTTCTAAAGCCTCGCAGTTCCTGTACTTACTATTTCATTACAGACTAAGGGGGCAGAGTAACAGACTAGCCTCCATTCTTTCCGGCTGGAGCATTTCTGACTAGACAAAGGAGCTTTATTTATTTATTTATTCATTTATTAAAAATGTTTATTTATTGGGGGTTGGGGGCAGAGAGAGAGGAAGAAAGAATCCCAGGTAGGCTCTGAGCTGTCAGTGCAGAGCCCAACACAGGGCACGAACTCATGAACCATGAGACTCATGACCTGAGCTGAAGTCTGACACTTAACTGACTGAGCCACCCAGTTGCCCCCAATAAAAGGAGCATTTAAATTAAGGTCTACTGTGGTTTATTCTCCATATGTGCTTTTTTTCTTTTTTGTTAGGTTATCTAGTTGTGAAAGACAAAACAGTTCCTTTAATGTAAGCGAAAGAAGGGGTGCCTGGATGGCTCAGTCGGTTAAGCATCAGACTCAGTATTGGCTAGGGTCATGATCTCATGGTTTGTCACATCAAGCCCCATGTCAGGCTCTGCACTGCCACTGTGGAGCCTGGTTGGGATTCTTTCTCTCACTCCCCCTTTCTCTGCCCCCTCCTGATCATGCACCCACTCTCTCTCAAAAGACAAAAGAAAACAAACCAAAAGGTTTGTGAGCTTTGATTTACCCAAAAGGCAGTAGGAAATTTAAATGATCATGGTAGAGCTGCGAGGTAACAGGTTCTGTAGAAGCACTCATAATTGCTTGATCCAGGCAGCGGGAAACTGAGCACCTGTGCAGCGGTGAGGCCAAGTCCTAGCAGCAGCAATGAAATTGCTTGAACTGATAGGCTGGCTGGCTCAAGCGGAGTTCATGCCCTGTATTCGTCCATCTTGGATTGTTTCAAATTGTGGGTTTTTGGATTTTGTTTGTATTTGTGGCAAATGGGACATATTTTCCTAGGTTATTTATGGAACATTTATCAGAGGACTTGGGTCTCATTGCCAATGCATTTGATCCTGTTTTCCTGTGCAAACGAGTGTAGCAACAGGAAACTAAGGGGTGACCCTTTCTCACCAAGCTTTTAGTTCATCACCACGAGGGCTGTCAATCTGGAAAGCTCCATACTCACTTTTCCTTGTAGCTGAATACTATAGAACATCATGTATGTTATGTTACTTTTATAGAATGTTCCAAAAATTCATAAAAGAAAATGTCAGAAGCAGCAGTAGCAGATTTTTGAGATTTTGTTGAGTTTCTCATTGAAGACCTCTTCCCCCTTGGACCTCTCAGTATCAACTGGCTAAATCAAAACTTGGTACGAGTGCTTTTTGGAACATGAAATTTTAATGGTTAGTCTCTGAGGAACTTAAACAACTTACTTTTTTTCAAAATGAGAACTTTCCGTTGGTATCCAGTATGGGGGCCATATGAATTTCTTACCTGGTATAGATCATAACCAGTATTCCTGATTCACTGCTTCTAGGGCTTTGGAACTCCTTAATCTGGGGGAGGAAATAAATATCTTTAAGGTAGCTTTTCTCCCAAGTTTTATAAATTTGTGTTTGGTTTCTTGCACTGAAGTTGCCTTTGTGTGTGTGTGAGAAACAGAGAGATTGAGGAGGAGAGATTTTATTCTAATGATTTAAAAAAAATTTTAATGTTTGTTTTGAGAGAGTACATGCACGCATGTCCCCACAGGCAAACGGGAGGGACAGAGAGAGAAAATTCCAAGCAGGCTTCATGCTATCAGTGCAGAGCCCAACTCAGGGCTCGATCTCATGAACTGTGAGATCATGACCTGAGCAGAGATCAAAAGTTGGACACTTAACCAACTTAGCCACCCAGGCACCCCAAGAAATTTTATTCTAAAAATGTTTTTTTATTTTTTGTTTATTGTCACGTTGGTTTCCATATAACTCTACGGGTTTTTTTAATTTTTATTTTTGGGAGATACAGAACATGAGTTGCAGGAGGGGTAGAGAGAGAGAGGGAGACACAGAATCTGAAATAGGTTCTAGACTCTGAGCTGTCTGCACAGAGCCCAACATGGGGCCCCAACTTAGGAACGGCAAGATCATGACCTAGACCAAACCGACTGAGCCACCCAGATGCCCCAAAAGATTTTATTCTAAAGCAGGTGTTCAATTATGCAACTGAGTTGAATTTGATGGTTTAACACTAAAATGAGACCTGGCATTTTGTTGTCAGTTTTGACTTCGAACAAAGTCTTTTCCAAGTTTGGAAAGTACCTCATTAAGAATATATGTTTGTTGGGAATTTCACAGATTAGTAAATCATCAAGCAGTCTCTAAGATGTTGGATAACTGTACACTAAGTCAGAAGACTTTTACGTGGAAAGTACCTGGTTAATATAAATGGGAGTGATCTGATAAATGGAGATAGTACCAGTCAGTAGGGGAAAGGTAGACTAATAAGTGATGTTGGTATAGTTGGTTATCTTTGTGGTTAGAGAAAGAAATCAGGCTCACCTAGTAATCATGGAAATGAAACATAAAACAGGAATGAAATAACATCTCACCCATCGGTTTGGCAAATACTAAAGTGAGGTGGTTATCAAATGATGGATGTGCAAAGGTGTATGGACAGCGTAGTCTGACATGGGCTGGGGGTAGAACATGGCCCAGCCTCCTCTACGGAGGGGGATGTGTTCAGATTGAAGATGGTAGCCCTTGTCTCCCCATGGGCACCTTTTCCCGTCTATATACATTACAGCTTTGTTTGGAATGATTGGGTCAGTTTTAATTTTCACTATCAGCCGAGCGAATGCAGTACTATATTATATCAAATATACCTAATCATGATGAAATACTATAAAGGAATTAAATAGGGTGAATTACAAAATAATTACAAAATAATAATAAATGTATATAAATATGGGTAAATTTTTCCAAGCATAACAAAAGGAAGTTGATATCATTTAAGTTAAATACAACAACAGAAAACCCTCCAGAAGTATGTATTTAATCTGTTGGGAGTAAAATGCACTTATAAGTAGGCAGTAAATGGAGGGACTAGAATGGACATAATTCAGAGCAGCCCCTCTGGGAGTTGGGAGAAGAGACCCACGCGGAAGCGGGCTTCTAATTTAAAATACTACGTCTTCATATATTTGTACAGTGTAGAAGTGAGCACACACAGAAAAAGGCCTTGGGGACAAATATGACAAAACACTAACAGTGGTTAGTGGGGGGTTGTGGGAACACGGTTGAATGACTGTTGTCCTATATCTGTAGGTACGATTTGAACCATCCTCAAAAAAAAAAAAATCTTAGACTCTTCATCTTCCCTAGAAATAGTTGCTTAGTAAGCCTGAACCTCCTTCTGTTTTTCTAGAAAACGTGGACACAGATTTGCAGGCCAGCCTGGGGCAGAGCGAGGAGAAGCCTGTGCCCGCTGCCCCTGTGCCCAGCCCAGTGGCCCCGGCCCCGGCGCCGTCCCGAAGAAATCCCCCTGGCGGCAAGTCCAGCCTCGTCCTGGGTTAGCTCCAACTCTCTTGAACTCTGTCGTTTTATTTGTTTGTTTTCTCCATGCTTGTGAACTGCACAACTTGAGCCTGACTGTACATCTTTTGGATTTGTTTCATTAAAAAAGAAGCACTTTATGTACTGCTGTCTTTTTTTTTTTTTTTTTTTTTTTTTAAAAGAACAGGTTTCCCTTTATGTGTCCTCATCCCTCCGGGTCTGTGGGCTATGGCATGAGTGTTTTCTAGTAGTAGATTGGAGGGAAAGTTTTGTGACGCTTAGTATGGTGTTTTTAAGAATAATCTGGTTCCAAATGTGTTAGAGGATCTTTTGTACTGAGGTTTTTAAAACCCTTTCCTTGTCAGCTTTACTTGGGTTTTCCAAGCCGTGACTGGGCAGACCAGTAAACAGGCCCCAGGCATGTTCCTCCAGGCCCCCAAACACAGGGTTGTCTTCATGCCAAACCTATTCGTTGCAGCCCTACCTTGTCAGTGCCCTTGGCTAAAAGCATCTTCCTGTGCCATATGGAACAGTAGAGGCCTGTGCCTCATGCCTTGCTGCCTGCAAAGCAAAAAACAAAAACAAAAAACACAAAAAACTGCCTTTTTAATTTTTGGACCTTAAGAAATAAGCCAGATACTAACTCAACTAGCTGATGAGCTCCGCCTGCTGCTCCTGCAGAAGGCTTCGATGTGCACTCAGACCGACAGCTTCCAAGCGGTAAAGCAAGCAAGGGCGGTGACCACACAGAAGTGGGTCTTCGTCATGAACAGACCCCAAGGGGGGCAGTGCTCTTCTTAGATAACTTGAAGCCGTGTGCATGATGCTGGTGCTTGACCATGAACCGAAGTCCCATCCTTAACATGTGTGTTGTACTTCACAATCCTGGACTGTTGCTTAAAGTAAACAATGTACAAATTTTGAACATTGTGTCCTGTGTCATCTTTTTGAGATTGTTTCACTGTTCTCTTTGTTCAGTTGCTTTTTTTTTCTTTACTGTAAATCCTGTTGCCCAAGAACTGAAGAGTCCCTAAAGAGACTACTGAAGGCCCAGAAAGGTAAGTGGGCTTCTCTTGAAAGAAAACAGGTTTACAGTCATAGCAGTTCAAAATGCCAAAAAGTTGACTGATATCTGTGGTAATAAAATACCGGAATAATATGGACAAGTGATAAGCAAAATAATCATTAGGTAATATATTTTAGACTCTTCCACCCACCCTCTGTGCTGGTGGTAACGTGTAATTTTTTTTTTTTTTTAATTTTTTTTTTTAATGTTTTATTTATTTCTAGGAGAGAGACAGAGAGAGAGACAGCGCGAGCAGGGGAGGGTCAGAGAGAGAGGGAGTCACAGACTGAAACAGGCTCCAGGCNNTTGTTTTTTTTTAATGTTTTTTATTTATTTCTAGGAGAGAGACAGAGAGAGAGACAGCGCGAGCAGGGGAGGGTCAGAGAGAGAGGGAGTCACAGACTGAAACAGGCTCCAGGCTCTGAGCTGGCAGTCAGCACAGAGCCCGATGCGGGGCTCGAACCCACGAACCGCGAGATCATGACCGAAGCGAAAGTCGGACGCCCAACCGACTAAGCCACCCAGGCGCCCCAATAACGTGTAATTTTTAAGTCCTCTCCTCCTCCAAGGTGCTTCTCAATGGTGACTGGTTGCAGCAGAGGACTCCAAAGGAAGGGGAAGAGGATCTGAGCAGACAGATGATAGGAAAGCTCTTTGTGTTCTAGGCAGAAAGTTCCAGATCAGCATACTATATTCAATGTCCAAATTGGGCATGAACACTTGGCTTCTGGGTCTGGCTGCACTACTACTCAGCTGTGTTCTGGCTTGTCATCTGGGGACCAGTTTCCTATCTTAAAGAGCAAGACCTTTGAGACGATGAGCATAACCACTGGCTCACTGGGACATTTCTTGGGGAAGAAGAAGGGTGTTTATAGGTTCTGGGAGTATAAAGCTTTTCTCCCTTAAGGTGCAAAGAAAGCATTTGCAAAATGGAGAATCAACAGCTTTGGTATAGGATCCATCCGATTTTATGAAAACAGGTTAGCCCTACAAATACTAGCCTGAGGTATGGTTTCTATTAGGACTCTTTGGAGGTACCAACAGGTCCCTTTCTTTGATGGTGGGGACCCTGGAAAAGAGATGGCCCCGATTTGTGTCACACTTGTACCTTGGCTTTATTTTTTGAAGACAGGTGCCTAATCAAAATTCAAGTGTTGTGAGGGAGGGACAGTTTTGCCAATCATTCTGATTCTCTCAGAACACACTTTAGGCAATTTTACATAACATGTTAAGAGTGTTAAATTTCCTACTTAGAAAGCTTAGGGTCTACAAAGTGGAATCGAACGATCTTAGGATGATGATGGCAGAACAATCTATTTCGTTGGCAGTTTGGACTTTATACCCAGTTTGTGACTTGAGTGGGAAGGAGGGGGGAAATATTGGAGGCCTCACTATTGCTTATGCCAATTACACCTCTTCTTGAGGGTTTTTTAATTAGATCACTTTAGAAGGAGAGGCTAGTCGCCCCTTTGTAGTGCGTCTGTTACAACATTACTTTGGAAGTGTTGGGTGCTCAGATGGGGAACCTGAGGGAAGATGGGCCACTTAATCAAATCTGAGTTTATGGTTTGTAGGTATGTATGTTTGGATGTAGTCAGGAAGTTGAAAAAAACAGGGGGCTGTAACTCAATTCTAGAACAGAGATGTCCTTTCCACAGAAAGGACCTTCCCCTATTACCTGAGCTCGTTGGAAATCGTGTCCTCCGGGTGGAACTGGATGCATAAAGTGGACGCTCCCAACTCTGGTTTGTGAGCTCGTCTCTTAGGAGCTCTACTCACACAAGCCAGGGTCTTCAGTCCTTCACTTCAAAGCTACTGGGAGCCCCCATGATTCGGGCCTTCGGGGAGTTCTGGCCCGGGGCCCCGGCGCCTTCCCGCGCCCGTCCCACAAGCAGAGAGGGCAGAGCTGTGTCGGTGGCCCCGGGACTCGACTCTAAGCAGGGTGGAGCCAGCCCCACAGGATTCACCCGTCGCAGAATCTGAGACTCGCCGGGTCCCGCCTGGCCGAGGGGGTACGTTGCCCGCGGAGTCCCGGCAGGTACACGTGCAGGCAGGCGGGCGCGCTCTTGCGCCGCCCCGCGCCGCCTCCCGGAGAAGGTCGCGCGCTCCCGCGAGGCCCGGCACAACGGCGCCCATGCAAATGAGCCCGGCTGCTCCCGCCCTCCCCGCGCCTCCGGAAGCTGCGCCCTCCTCCCCCTCCCGCCCCCCGTGCCCGCCTCCCCCTGCCCCCTTCCCCCAGCCCTGCCTCCCCGGCGATGGCGGCGCGGCGCACGCGGCCGGTGCGGGTGCTGGTGGACATGGATGGCGTGCTGGCCGACTTCGAGGCCGGCCTCCTGCGGGGCTTCCGCCGCCGCTTCCCCGGGGAGCCGCACGTGGCGCTGGAAGAGCGCCGCGGCTTCCTCGCCCGCGAGCAGTACCGAGCCCTGCGGCCGGACCTGGCGGTAGGCAGGGAAAGGGCGGGAATGCAGCGCCGGGTGTCCAAGCGGGCAGGGAGCCCCGTACCCAGTGTCCCCGGGAGCGGGGAGCCCCGGCCCCACAGGATACCCGGTAGCAAGGGCCCAGACCCCATCGGATGCAAGGGGCCCGAGCCCCGGCCCCACCACACCCAGAAATGGGAGCCCTCCTCTTGGGCAAGACTGTCTTCCCCCTTTGTTTAACAAAACCCTTACTTTAGAATCCATTGTTCACCCTGGGCACGAAAGTCGGTCGGAGTGCTTCCCCCTAAGCAAACTTCCTCTCCCTGTGGCTCTGATTTGGGGACCAAAGCCCCCCAGGAATCTTTGAGAATGCTCCCTGGGGCTAGATCGGCTGGAGGCAGAAGCTGGGACAAGAACATGGTATCTTTCAGGACAAAGTGGCCAGTGTGTATGAAGCCCCAGGCTTTTTCCTAGACTTGGAGCCTATCCCAGGAGCCTTGGAAGCCCTGCAGGAGATGAACAACATGCAGGAGTGAGGAAGGGCAAAGAGGGGAGGGGCGGTGGAGAAGAGGGAGGGCACCACCCTAACCCTAACCTGTGCCCTTTGTGCAGCACCGAGGTCTTCATCTGCACCAGCCCTCTGACGAAGTATGAACACTGTGTGGGTGAGAAGGTGCGGCTGACCCAGCACCTGAGAGCACACTGCTTCCTAGGTCCTGAGATTTAAAGTAACCCAGCAGCGGGGCACCTGGGTGGTTCAGCCAGTTAAGGGTACGGCTCTGTGCTGATGGCGCTGAGCCTGCTTGGGATTCTCTCCACCCCCCCCACCCCGCTTCTCCCCTGCTCTCTTGCTTGTGCGCTCTCTCTCAAAATAAATGCTTAAAATTAAAAAAATAAATAAACCAGCAGAAACACAGGAAGTGGGGGTAGGGGAAGGGGAGCCGCATCTCCAGGGCCGGAGACCCCACTCCCACCTGCTTCCTGGCCCTGCTGACAGACCGGTGCCCCCGTCCACAGTACCGCTGGGTGGAGAACCACCTGGGGCCGCAGTTTGTGGAGCGCATTATCCTGACGAGGGACAAGACGGTGGTCTTGGGGGACCTGCTCATTGACGACAAGGACACCATTCGAGGTTAGACCTGTTTTCCTGGCAACCTTCCAGGCATTTGGCCTGCTGGGATTAGAGAGGGAGTAAAAATAGCCAGATTACAGACTGCATCTCCCTGCCTTTCTCCCGCGTCCTGTCCCAGGCCAAGAGGAGACCCCAAGCTGGGAGCACATCTTGTTCACCTGCTGCCACAACCAGCACCTCGCCCTGCCCTCCACAAAGAGACGGCTGCTGTCCTGGAGTGACAACTGGAGGGAGATCATAGACAGCAAGCGGGGGGCCGGGACGGTGGGTAGAAGCTGAAGGAAGGGAAGGCAGGCCAGCGGGGAACCCCAGCAGAGCTGCAGGACAGGGCAGCGTCATGGCGGTGGCCACCAGCACCGTAGAGCAGGGAGAACAAGAACCTCGGTTCTCACAAGCCAGCCACCTGGAACCCCACAAGATGGCTGGCAAAGAAACATGGTGGGAAAACTTCTCAGGAACCTTTTTAATAAAACACTTTGGCTCACCACTCTTTAAACGTCCTTTATTTGGGAAAGTAAAGGTACAGGAGCCCTAGGGAAGCAGGTGGAATGCAGGCTGAGAAGGAAGCTTTCTCTTCCCTCTTCCTATCCTTCATGCCACCTCCGTCTGGATACCATCCCTCTTGTATCTGCCATCTTTCACCTTGGCCATGTTAGAGGTCAACCTTAAGGGAGTGCAGAAGGGAGGCCAGGAAGTTCCCCATTGCTCCTGAACCCTGACTCTCCAGGGGCATCCCACACCGCTTCCCCTGTGCTGGTCAATGTACATTATGGACTCTAAGCCACAGACTTGTCAGTATCTGGTCCCTTAAGCCACCACTCTTGCCCTCCCGAAGCCCTCCTGAGTCTGAGACTTCCAGGGCCAGGGACGACTCCTCACTAACCCAACCCTGATGGCAGAGGAGGGCCAGGGCGCTCAGGCTGGGGCCACGGGGTGGTGAGGGGAGAATATGCAGCTTCAAGGCTCTGTGCCTTATTCTGATGTGTCCTCACCCTCATACTCATGGTCTTATGGACTGCATCTCTACAGAATAGAGACCACACCTTTGTCTTTGAAGCTCATGGTGCTTGGCAGATAGGCCTGTGGATAAACAGGTGATCCTCGGCCAGAGTTCTCCGGGCTGGTGTCCACCATACCCAATGCCCAGCAGGGAGAGCTTGCGGTGTAGGTACCCAGCTTCCATAGCCCTGGAGTGGGCATGGCCAGCTTCCCAGAGCTGGCTTCTCATTTCTATTCCTCATGATTACTCCAGATATGATAAAGAATTCCTCTTCCCTCAAACAGAAGCAATTCTCCTAATCCCAGGCACAGCTGCTCCTCATGACGACCCCTTCTATAAGGCCTCTGGATCTTGGGTCCCAGCGGCTTCACTCTCACACAAGGGCTTGGTGGTGGCAGGAGGCAGGCCCTTGACCTCCAGCTGGTTGAGAATGTCAACCTATGGAAATGGCACTGCCTTTGCCCACTTCCACATCCCTCTATTCTGGCTTCCTCACTCATGCCTCTCATCACAGTGTAAACACCTGTCACACTGAGAAGACTCACCTTTAAAATACCTTAAAGGGCACCTTTTGGAGAGAACATGCTCAGGGGGAGCCAGGGTGCTCCTGCTCCCTGAGCCCCCACCCGGATCGTGGTCTCATCTCCAGCAGTCAGGGTGCCATGGCCGTGAAATCTCCTTGGGTCAGGGCTGCTGGGGGGCCTCAGTCCTTGGCAGTGGGATGCCCAGGGCAGAGTGAGCCCGCCAGCTGCGGGCTTCCGCCACCTGGCTTGGGGAACAGAAGTCTTCGAGGAAGATCTGGGCCAGGTTCCGGAGCCTTGAATTGGCTGAGAGAGAGAAGCGCAGCATGCACTGCACCACGGGCATGGCGGTCAGCTCAGGGTGCGAGCCAGAGCCTGGCGAGCTCAGGTACATGAGCGTGGTGACAGCAGACAGCACGGTCTCCTCGTTGGGACTGGACAGGCAGTTGATGATGAGGGGGATGCCCCCTGTCTGCAGGATGTGCTCCTTGTTGGCCCTGTCTGGACACAGGTTGCAGAGGCCTCCTGGGGAAGAGCAAAGGGGAGACTGGCTGCTCAGGCCTGGGCAACCTCCCAGGTCCTCTCGGCCCACTTCGTCCAAGGGAAGGGCCCAGGCCTATGAGAAGGTGGCCCAGGGACAAGAGATTGAAAGTCCGCTCTGGTATCCAGCCCTTCCTTTCAAGGTTCCTGCCTGCCCATCACAGCCTAGCCTTCAGGAAGTGGATACCAATCCCTTACCCCCTTGGTTCAGCCAATTCAATGGTTGATATGCTTTCCTCTTTTTTTAAAGCAAAAAAAAAAAAAAGAGGGGGGGGGCGCCTGGGTGGCTCAGTTGGTTAAGATTCCAACTTCCACTTGGGTCTTGATCTCATGGCTTGTGAGTTTGAGCCCTGCAATGGGCTCTGTGCTGACAGCTCAGAGCCTGAAGCCTGCTTTGGATTCTGTGTCTCCCTCTCTCTCTACCCCTCTCCCACTTGCAGTCTATCTCTCAAAAATGAATAAATGTTAAAAAAAAAATTAAAAAAAAAGAGGCTAGAGCAAGTGGGGGCAGGTGAAGAGTGGGGGGCTGGCAGGGGCAGGGCTGCCCAGGTTTGGCACTGGCATCCCCTCCCCAGCAGTACCTGGGTCAGTTTGAGTGCTGCTAGAGGGAAATGTCTTGAATGTTTATACATGACCAAGAGAGCATGACCTGAAGTGAAGTCAGATGCTCACTGAGCCACCCACGTGTCCCTAGGGAAATGTCTTTGAAGGTTTTATCCATTCAGCCTCTAGGGACTTCTCAGTGAATCTGGAATAAAATCAGAATTCCCCTTTGAAGTCTTCAGGGCCCTGCACTTCCTCAGCCCATCCTTGGAGTCTCTGGGCCCCAGATTTTCACATGCTGCCTTCCTCTGGCTGGGAAGCAACCCTTCACTGCTCCCTCACCAGAAGGTTTCCCTGGCATACCCCACTAGCCAACCCCCACCACGTCCAGGGCACTCCTTTCATCACCGCATGTCATCTTTATATGCTTAGAGCTCTCAGAAACCATCTTGGCAGATTTGTTTTCTTGCTCACTAACTGCCAAGCTCCACTGGAAGGTACCTGCCTGAGGTCAAGTCCTTGATGCCTGGGGCAGGAGGCGCTCCAGAAATACTTGCTGGAGGGGTTGTAAAGCAGTGGGGGGGTTCGGGGGGGAACAGCAGTGGGCTGGGGGATTAGGCGGGACTGCTTCCTGAGGTGTTGCCCACCAGACTTCTGCAGCACTGGCATCCGATCTGTGGCTCAGAGCACCTCCGAGGGAAGCAAGGAGCTTAGTGGCACTCTTGGAGTCACGAGTGAGGGGGACAAGGCACTCTGAGGGCAGCGAGGTCCCTGCCCTGCTGATAATACCTCAGCACCTGCTCACCCCAGTGCAGCCCTGAGCACATCCTGGGGTCATCCTGTCACTGGACACCATAAAGCAAGGCCCTGCTTTCTGGTTTATTTCCGTATCTCAGGGACCTGCAACTGTGGACACTCACTGGACACATGCTGGGAGCACAACTGAAGTGTTACTACCACCCCTATTTCAGTGGAAGCCGGGGCTTTGAGTAACATACCCCATGTCCCAGGGATGGAAGTCCTATGCTACTCTCGTGGGACAAGTGGAAATGCTCTGGCTTCCCGGACTCACCGACACAAGGTCTTCTGAACTACAAGCGGTGAACCAGCCTCCTACCCACACTGTAGTCTAATGGACGGGGGCAGAGGGTAGGATTTATCTCCGCTGTAAAGTATGATAAGATGAATCCTGAGTCACTCTCGGCTAGTGAGTCACCATCACACACAGATGTGCCTGGGTGGGACGCTGCCACCCAGGCTGGGAGATAATCAGATGGCACGTGCTGGAGAGTGAGGGTAGGAGGAGGCCTCAGGACAGGGGGCCCGTCTGCTCCCCATCTGGAGACCTAGGAGGTCTCCAAGGGTGAATCCTGTACCTGCCAGAGCTCACCGCTGCCTGGGCCCCAACCATAGGCACTGCCTTGCTGGCAGCGATCCTCGGAGGGGAGGACAAGACCATCTGGAAAGAGAAGGGCTTCAGAGGGGCAAGAAGTCTGAGCGGGAGCACCCAAAATGGAGCCAGAGGGCCCAGGAGAAGCCCAGGCCACGGGCGCTTTGCACTTTCCCTCCTGAGTCTACCTCTGTGACCCTGCCCTAAAGAACTAAGGAGGGCTATGGCAAGAGAGTAACACAAAAAAATGGAAGCTTCCTAAATAAGGCCCAACAATAGCAGGCTGGTTAGATAAAGTCCGGTTACATCCATATGATGGAAAAGTATACAGTTCTTAAAAATAATGTTTTCAAAGAATAGTTAATATGGGAAAATGTTTACAACATTAAGGTTGAGGAGGAAAGAAAGTCATCAAACTGTAAATAGGATAAAACTGCAATAAAAAAAAAAAAAAAAAGAAAGCCCAACAAGATATCAACTCTTCTGCGAGCCTTCTGTGACAACCCTAACCAGACCCTCCCCACCTTCATTTCCTTCCTTCGCACCGGCATTACTGCTCATCACGTTCACTGAAGGTTGCCCCACTAGACGACAAACCCCACAAGGGTGGGAACTTTGTCTTGTGCCATGCTGTCACCTCAGGCTGGCATATAACACATGCTTGGTAAACGAACAGATACATTAAAAAAGGACAAGCTGGAAACACGGCAAAATGCTAACAATGTTTATTTCTGTGCAGCAGGATTAGGAGCTGTTTTTATTTTCTTCATTTTCCAAGTTTTCCTCCATGAAAACATTTTTTTATAATCAGGAAAAAGATCAAAAAAAAAAAAGAAAAGCCAAATTTCATTTAGAAAGTAAAACTCAGGGTGTGTAGGTGACTCAGTCGGTTAAGCATCTGACCCTTGATTTAGGCTCAGGTCATGATCTCATGGTTTGGAAGTTTGAGCCCCACACTGACCTTGGGATCCTCTCTCTGCCCCTCCCTCACTCGTGTTCTATTTCTCTCTCTGTAAAAGAGCTTTCCTATTCTTCCTTTCTAATCTTATATCCTAAAAAACTTTCGCTGCTCAACTTTTGCTGCTCAAAAAAACAAAAAACTCATCAAATGACACCACTGAAAAAATTAATACACTTAACATATAAAGTCTATTAATAGACTATATATATTAAGTCTATTAATATATATTAAGTCTATTAAATTATATAATATTAAGTCTATTAAATTATTAATAAGTCTATTAAAGTATATAATATTAATAAGTCTATTGATATTATATACTTTAATAGACTTAATATATAAAGAATATATATTACAGGGGCACCTGGGTGGCTCAGTTGGTTGAATGTCTGACTCTTGATTTCAGCTCAGGTTATGATCTCACAGTTAGTGGGGCTGAGCCACATATCAGGCTCTGTGCTGACAGTGCAGAGCCTGCTTTGGACTCTCCTTCTCTCCTCTGCTCCTCCCCTGCTCGAGCGTGCGTGTGTGTGTTATTCTTTCTCTCAAAATGAATAAACATAAAAAATTCTAAAGTATATTACTGTCTATCAATGAAAGATGAACACGATGTAAAAAATGAACAGAGACTCGGGTAATTCTGCACAACAGGGCCAGTGTAGGACAAAGGGCTCATCGCTACTTCTCAGAGGCAGGATCAGATACCTCCACACACCTATCATGGCTAAAACCAAGCAGACTGACAATAGTAAGAGCTAGCGGGAGGTGGGGCTGCTAGAATTCTCATACAAGGGGGTGAGGGGTCTCACGCTGCATAATGAAGGTGGCCGCTTCTAAAGTAAAACATCCACCTATCCTAGGACTCAGCAGTTCCACTTCTACCTGAATCTGAGAAAAAGGAGTACATATCTATACAAGAAAACTTGTGTACAAACTATCCTAACAGTTTTCTTCATAAAGGCTCTAAATTAGAAACAACTCAAATCTCCATCAGAAGGTGAACTGAACAAAGTGTGGCATATTCATACAAAGACATGAACGAAGGCTACTGTAACAATCTGGATGGATTTTAAAAACACTGAGTGAAAGAACCCAGACACAGGAGCACATCCTGTGTGACTGAACACAGATGGAGTTCAAGAACAGGCAAAACAGGGGCACCCGGCTGGCTCAGTCGGTGAGGCGTGTGACTCCTGATCTCAGAGTCATGAGTTCAGCCCCATGATGGGTGTGGAGATCACTTAAAAATAAAATCTTGGGGCACCTGGGTGGCTCAGTCAGTTAAGCATCCGACTTTGGCTCAGGTCATGATCTCATGGTTCATGGGTTCGAGCCCCACGTCAGGGTCTGTGCTGACAGCTAGCTCAGAGCCTGGAGCCTGCTTTGGATTCTCTCTCTCTCTCTCTCTCTCTCTCTCTCTCTCAGAAATAAATAAAACATTTTAAAAAATAATAAAATAAAATCTTAAGGGGAAAAAAAAAAAAAGACCGAACAAATAGGCAAAACTCATAGGTTAGAATAGTGGTTACCTGGGGCGCGGAAGACACTAACTGGGAAAGGGACCTTTCTGAGGAGATGGAAACATTCTAGATCTTGATTTTAGTGCTGGTTACATAGACATGCATATGCCTTAATGAATTTAAAAATCCATCAAACTGCACTGGGTGTTGTGTGGAAATGCTGAATCACTATTATCGTACACCTGAAGCTGATATTACACTGAATGTTAACTAACCAGAATTTTTTTAAAAAACCTTAAAAAAAGAAGTTCAAGGAAAAAAATTCGTCAAACTGACACTTAAGATGTGTACACGTCACTGTATGCTGATCGTGCTGCAACTTAAACCATGGTTACCAAACGAAAAGGAGAACAGGTTCCGACTGGCTGATGCAAGTGTTACACGCAAACCAGACAAGACACAAAAGGAGTAAGAGGGCCCTTCCAGACACACGGAACCACAGAAACCCCCAGGAAAGGCAAAAAGAGAAAACTCCAAGTAAAACCAAGAATGAGAAAGCTGGAGGCTCAGAGAGGTCAGGTAGGGGACCCCAGGTCACACAGCAAGAACGGGGCTGGTGCTGAGACAGGAA